AATCAAGTAAATATAGCCTTGGTGAGCATATGAGACTTCTTTCAAAAACATAAAAAATTATAATTGATCAGGCATGTATAGTTTAAAATTATGTGTTTGCCATAGAGTGTAAAGTCTGAAAATTAACTCCACATCAGCAACTGTCCAACTAACAATTTAGACTTAGCTAGAAAAATAAAAACAATTATTAGGCCTTAATGCTCGTTATAAGTTTAATTTAAAGATTTTGAGTCCAAAATGTAAAGTAAAAAGATTCATTCATGTATTATTTAACAATATAAAAATGTCAATTTATTGGTCAATTTTTGTGCTTAAATTTGTTTATTTCGACTTTTAAACAAATAAACAATTTTTTTCTTTCTTTCTTTTTGAAGTTCACTCCTAGTCCTCCAGAAAAAGCTCTCTTTTGCAAAGTTTGCAATATACCAGAATTATATGACTACTTTTATGACTACTTTTTATGTTTTTTTGTCTTTATGGCTTAACAGACATGGACACTATCAACTGTTGTCATATATAAGTGGGAACTTTTACATAATTCAGTGTACTAGAAGCTCAAAAAAGCATTTGCTTCTGAATAAATTCTGAATGCCCTGAGAAAATGGCCTGATGTCACACTGCCCTGCTGTTCAATTTCACAGAGTTTCATAAAAATATAAAAAAACATGCACTCAGTTCTCCAGATAATGCCCGTCGAAAACCAAAAGATTAAAGCCAACTTTATTGAAATCCATATCTCATAATCTGCTCCTCCGAGGAAGAGAAGAGTTGTCTTTTGTCTTCAGCTCCAATGATCACACGTTATGATGCAAACTGCTGTCGCGGCCAATTCCTCTATTCATTGTGCCACTGAAAATACAAATCAGTTCAAAACTATGTTGGCCTCTAAATGACTGATTCCACTGTCATAAACGTTTTAGGGGGAACAAAGTGAAGCAATTTGTGCTCGCCCTGCCTGTAAATATCTGTCTGAAGGAGAAGTGAGAAGAAGATGTGAAGTGAATTTCAATCCAGATATCTCCTGCATATGTGTTTCAGGGTCAGTCTGAACTCCAGTGATATTCAGGGTGAGAAGGCTCACTTTGTTCTTCAGTTTTCACTTTTAACCCATATGGCCTCAAAGGTCAGCACTGAGCATCCATAACACTTATATACTAAAGAGTATTTTAAGCTTTACAGCTCTAGAATGGCAATATTTCTGTAAAGGTCAATGATTCTTATATTGCTTGTCCTGGAGTCAAAAAATATGTGCTGCGATGTACACAATATAGCCTATATTCTAAAACAAGTATAGAGTAATGTTTAGTGTACAGCACATTTTAAATATTCACCTCCCCATTTTATTGTATTTCTTTGACATGATCTGTTATTGAGCTTGTTCGTTAAAACATTCAATAAAGCAAGGAGAAAATAAAAGAAACTGCTCACTTCAGAAGAGCATTTGTTTGCAATATTTTTATTTTGTAATACTGAACACTATAATGCACATTTAGCTTAATTGTGTTTTAGAATACGATTATGCAAAGAATGAACTTAAGTGGTTGAAAAAAATCTCTACACACTGAAATAACTTCATTAGTACAGTTTTATTTTCTGTGTTAAAACAAGAAGAAACAAGAGGGGTGGGCCCATCAAAGAGCTTATCCATTATTAATAAATAGTTTGTCCCTTATTAATAAATAGTAGCCTTTAGTTTATGTTACAGCCTTGAATCATAATTTGCACGATTAGCGAGGTACATTCTCATACGAACGTTTTACTAAACAAAGACTTCAGTGAGTGTAAGATAAGAAATCAATATTTTTGACCAAAGTAAGAGCACTTTTATTTTATTGTGATATCTTTGAATATTTTTTCTTACATTAGCATATAAATAGCTTCAAAGATAACACACATTAGAACATCTGATTCCAGTATTTACCCTGAATACTGGTAATATAGGACATCTTACTTTTGCTTGCATGTTTAATTAGGATCCAAAAGCCATAGAACCTGACATGATACCTTTATGGATAACTTAGGGTGTCTCACATTTACATTTACATTTAGTTATTTTGCAGACACTTTTATCCAAAGTGACTTAAAGAGGCAAACAGACACAGGAAGTGCTCGTAATACCAAGTTTCAGGCATTTGTTCAAATAAGTACAAGCTAGAAAGTGAAGGAATAAATAAAGAGAAAGACAAAGTTTTTTTTTAAATTTAGGATGAAGTCAAGTAGCGTCGAAAGAGATGAGTTTTCAGCTGTCGCTTG